GTGCTTACAAATCCTACCTAATTTTATYGTCTATGTCACTAAATTCATTTGAAATAAGATTTTTATGTACCTATATAAATTCTCAAAAAATTATTTCACTTAGAAATATTAAATTGAATACGGTATTTATGTATTGAAATTTAAATGTTTTTATTCAAAAATAAAAATTTGTTCTTAAAATCCTGTTTTGTAATGACTATTAAATTTTAAAGTCAATATCTTACAAAAAAAAAAAATTAAAATAATGTAAAAAAAATATTTTCAAAATCGTTTTGGTGATGATAAGTATTAAATGTTAAATAATTATACAGACATACAGTACAATACAAAGTGATTCCAACTGATTCGTCAATACATCTATTAGTAAATCTATAAATTAATATTTTTTAGAAATTTTTGAGTACTTTGTGTACTAAGGATAATATGTTTACGATAATATCACTGAATATATACGTTAGTAATTATTAGTACAAAATATATTATAGTCAATGATAAAAGGGTTRGAGATGGGAGTTGGGCTTGGGGGATGGGGGAGGATTGCAATGATGGATAAATCCAATATTTTTATAACTTGTAAACATTTGWTCAATAAATACTAGATCTACTAAATATCACATAAATTTTATACTTTTATAAAACCACTTTTCAGGTTTTTCTATAAAAACATTATATAGTTTACTTAGAAAGTAGTTAGATAAAAGTATATATATAAATATTCGTTTATAATAATTTATTTACAGTAAAAAAGGTTCGGACTCTTTAATAAAAAAGAAATTAACCACAGGTACTCACAAAATGGAATATAAAATTTTGAAAATATGGTATACTTGAAATTTCCAAATTATTAGAATTTGAATTAATTTATTATTAAATAAAAAAATGTAAACGAGTATGCTTGCGTAATGCGTAATAATAATACATTATTGAGAGATGGATGTACAATATTTGAATTAAAATATTTATTTCGATAACAAATCGTTGGCCGATGACATACAAATTCCAAAATACGAATTGAATGATAAAAAAATAACAGGTTTCTTGTATTAGATATTATTATGAAATTCGTTACAATATAATATTCGGTGCGTATATAGTATTATAAGAAGAAACGAGGTATAACAAAAACCTTAAAAATATTTTTATTAATGATACTTACTTAGTACACCCACAATAAAAAGAAGTACAGATGGTGTCTTTATTTATCCTCATAATATATTATGGTATATACCTACGCCACCTGCTTTATATTRACATTGTCAATTGTCATATTATTATTGGGTATTGACAACTGTTCCTAATTAACCAGTATCTGCCATTTCCGGTTACCTGTTTCACTAAAATGTATATAATACACAATGTACTTAAAATAATATTGTTTGAATACCAAATGACTGGTTATGTGGTAATAATAATAATAACTAATAATACTCTTATCCTGTATCTATAAGTCCAAGCGGGATGTGACTGGAGTTAATTTACATTTTTACCGGTAGAAATTGTAATAAATAATGTGATTATTTAATTTTACATTTTTTGTAAGCCTMTAAAAATGTACACAATTCACGTCTATGATTAAAGACTAATGAGTGTAATGACATAAGTGACTAAAATTTATGATACTTGGTTTAAAATTTAAACGACGCCATTTAGAATTAATATATTAAATATTATTAATGGTTAATGATAGTTAATTATTTTATAATTTTACATCTATTTTGTTTTTATTATATTTAAATTATGTAAATAAATTATATGACATTTTCATGAACTTACCGATTGCAGTTCTAGATGTTGCAGTTCATCCATTTTATTAATGAAACTATATTCTCGAACTACCTAATTAGAGATTTGAATCCAATACGATCTTGGATTCTATGTCGTAATATATAATATTTAAGCATTAAACATAATATAATACCTACGTCGCTATAAACAATGAGGTATATTACTACAAAAAKATGTAATTTTTACTGTTGAATTGCAGAGTGTTTATATGATGATTATTTGACGCTATCAAAATGAATTATCAACAAAGATAAAACTATTATTTTATTAGTTAAAAGTGCATTATTATTATTATTATAGTAATATAATATTAGTATTGTGATAAGGATTATATTTAATTCTTCGTATGTTATTTAACAATAAATTACGAATGAAAATTTATTTGAAAATCATAACTATCTATTATGTTTATATATTCAAATTAGTATAATGTTGATTAAAACAAATTTCAACTGAAAAATAATTAGTTATTAGTAGATTATAAGAAGACGAAATAAATTGTTGGCGTATCAACACATTGAAAGTCTTATATTATAATAAATAGATTCCAAACTAGAGAAATGTGTATAATAAACTTTGTAAATTAAAAGTTATAACCTATTATCATATTTTAAAATCACACATACTTAGTTTATATCAAAAAGGAACTAAATTTATAGAGGCGTGTTCAGAAATTTTCAATTTTTTTTTTGCAAGTCCAAGTATTTCGCCTTTTTGCTAGTCAATTTATTGAAAACTAATGATTTTTTTTTAAGACACCGAGAACATTATACATAGGTAAAAGAATCGACATATTTTATTAATAATTTACTATCTGTTTGAATACATCCATTACACAGATAATTATATTACAATAGTATAACGCTATAACAACTTCAGCTACATTATATTAATATATATTATTTTAAATTAATTTTATTAATTGAATAGGTATTAAGTTCATATAATAATAAGTAATAACTAATAATAACAAGCCAACAGGTGTCATCGACCGTCACTAATGGTGATTTTTTTTATCTTTAGTTATTTTTGCCTTTTGTTTTCGTACTACTCTATACCTCTAAACTCTAGTGCTCTAATATTATTTTTATATATGTATTATACCTATTAGCATTATGCTTACTGTCACAAGTATTTTTTTATATTCTACAATTATAATATTTTAAAAACCAAGCACTAATTTATTGTTTAAAGAAAAAATCAGTATAGATATCACAGATGATCTACTAAAATACTGACCTGTTTTGGATATTTTGAGTCCTAAATAGAATAAAGTATGGTAAATTAAAGTTTTAAATAATTTATCATTTTACACTACCATTTATATTACAGAATAAAAGGAACGAAACATTTTATTAAACAGGTTATTTTATGTACAGATAGGTACTCGAGGTATTTATAATTTGCATTTTATCTTTATAAAATACGATAACAATTATAATTTTAAAAACTGATTTTTTCTTTATAGTTTAATTTTTACTCATTAAATCATGAATTCCTTTTTGAAAAAAAATATCAAATAAATATCTTATGCGATAAAAACAAAAGGAAGTATGACTGAGACTGCAAATATATGTACGTTATATACCTAGTGTGTCTACTAAAAAAATATATTCTTTGTTATCACAATAGAAGACAAATATAACTTGAAAATAAATTATAAATGCGCACATTATGTGCTATTTATTCACGAAAATACTATTTTGGAAGAGTTCCACGCTCAATTAAATATAGTGTTCACCCGACACATTTTTAAATAGTCAAAACTATGTATACRACGTGCGCAATACCTTAATTTGGCAAATAACTACTATGCATGACCACTTTAATTTTTCAATAAACACACATACGTAATTCACAGACACGCGCATTTGTTATATACAAACTACGCATTYATTTATTTACATAAAGTTATACAAGTATATAAATTATATAAAATAATTGCATTAATAATACAAAATAAATATACCTCCGCGGTATATAGATAATATAAACTAGATATAAAAAAATATATATATTTATGTATAATATTATGTATACTATTTTACCAACTAGTATATTATATTTTAATGGTTTGGTATATATTTTATACAAGATATATTATAATATAATGCGTTCGACTTAGTGGTACAAAAAGTGTACTTGAGTTCCTATATTTTATTATATTATATAATATAATAAAAATATTTAGGTTTTATACACACGTGAAATCTAAAATATACCCAATCCACAGCGTAGGTATTATATATTAATATATTATGATGTACACATTTTAATATACATGTATATGGAAGCTTTCAATTGAGAGACGTTTAAACACGTCGATATATAAAATAACATCACATACACTTATACATTAATATATTATAAATACATATTTAAGTGGTAGGTACATTATGTTTTGGATATCTTTCATAATTTTATAAAAATAATAACAATACACCGATCACGGTTATCGTCATGTGAGTATAAAAATAAAAATATTGTAGACGAGTGCAATAATTCGTGCAGAAATCAATCCATCGTACGACGATAACGGTAATCACGATAATGAATAATGATGAAGATAATAATAATAATTATAGTAATAATAATAATAGTAATAGTAATGGTATAACTTAATAAATATTAATAATAATTATTATATTAAACATCAGCGAAATAAAATAATTTAGAAATTTAGGTATTATAATATTATTCATCACCCTGTGTCAAAGTCAAAGTTAAAATTTTTTACTTATTTCTTTAGAGTGTGGCACTGTGGCACACAATATAACTACAAAATAAATAAATCATATCGCACAGATTCAGAGTATTATACATACATATACAAGTACGTGTCGATTTTAACGTCAACGATATTAGGTATACACAGAGATACTCGTCTCTCCGATAGTAGGCACGTATTATATTTTTGTTCTTATAATATATTTAATATACGTCTATAGTAGAATTATTACTAAATTCGCGTCATGTAGACGAAAACTGGAAAGTCAAAATATCATCACACATTTTAATTTTTATCGAGTCGTGTAAATGTCATCCGGAGGTGTTTAATATCAAAATATATAGGTAGTTAGATATTCGGGCATTTGTGTTATAAAACTTATAACAATTTAATAACGTCACTCATAATATAAAAATATTACATTTGGGTTTACGACGGTAACGAAGTAACGTGCACTCACATACCTATATTAATGACATATTATATGTATAACGTATAATGTGGGTCAGATGTTCAAACACCTTAACTTCTTTTCGGGCACCATGGACGAGAACGACCGCATGTTGTTGGTGGTAAGCACGTCGTCGGGCCGCACGCCGATGGACTGTAACCGTTCCAGCACGAGCAGCTCGAGCTTGCTGAGCTCCACGTCGACGCGGTGCACGGGCGCATTCTGCCGCTCCCACCGCGCCAACAGAATCACGTACTCAGCATTGTGGCCAGCCGGGCCCGCACACGTGGCCACCTGAGTGGCCAGCTCGTCGACTGGCGCTTCGCCCAGCCACTGGCCGTTGTCCGGCGTGGCCACATAAACGGTCGCGTTCACGGTCCGCCCACAGCAATCGTCCGTGTCGTCCGACTGCACGTCTACTTTGTGCACCTCGTAACCGCCCAGGTACACCTCCCGCATCTCCAAGTACCTGAACGCAGTCTCGTCCGGCAACAGGAACGCCTTGCCCCATACGAAACCCTGCAACGATACCAAACACACTCGTTATAGCTAGAATATATAAGTATAATACTTATAATAGGTAAGTATACTATTAGTATAATAATATATTTTATCGGTAAATATGACTAGATTAGGGCCTTATATTCGTTTGCATCGAAACAAAAAATAATTATTCAATTTTCCGCCAAAACCAACCATACCAATATTTATATAGTAAAAAAAATATATATATATTATTATTAAATATATAATTAATTTTGAATTTTATACAATAAACAGAAGTGTTTTTTTTATGTAGGTATATATGTACATGTTGTCACGTAGGTCACTTGTTACATCTAACAGTGTTGTATAGCTATGAGTGCAGGCACTGGGGGGAGTGCAATACCAGGATATATATGAATTTATTGTATCATATAAAATAAACATTATGGTGTATATATATATTATAAGCGCTCCGCACAAACAAAACTCTTAGTTGAATAATCAAGAAAAACGCAATTATTTTCGACGGATGCAGTAGGTAACTACCGAGAGTACGTWAAAATAACCATRACACGTATTTCATGTAGATTTTTTTTTTAAACAGACTCATGTCTGTGTGTATTTAGRAGAATGTAATTCAAGAGGTACTTGAATGGAAACATTGGAAATCCTTAGAAGAACAGACTGGTTCGTTGAAAATATCGATGGATGGATCGTGTTTATGAGCAAGTTTATATACATTATATTATATATATCTATATAATGTGATATGATAGTTAAAAAGTAAAGTAGTCGACGATGGCTAGGGGATCAAGAAGAAAGGTGGGCAATAAATAATAACATTTKMGTTCGGTCGGTTAACATAAACTATAAACAGCTTGTTAAGTGATTTTTTAATTTTCAACGAAATATTAACCTTTACACTCGAGTTGGTAGTTTGTACACCACATATAGAACTGAGTATAGATTTTATCAAACACACAAAGTCAAAATGTATTGATGAGATCAGTGATTACTYGTTAAGTTCATACTAGGTAATTGCTGCATTCAACGACTGCGTAATACATAATAAATTAATAAAACACAATCGTTGAATCGTTTAACTGTTTAAAGATAATTTATAAAATCATAAAAAGAAAATCACTTAATCGTTGYATTATATAGGATAGTGTATAGTRTTTTTTTCATTTACACGGCATTAAATTTGGATTATATAATGCATATATTTTTGCAACAGGCTATTAGTAGCTAGTAAACATTTGTGCAAAGTTGTTGTATTATGCGATTTGTACATAAAAGATTAGTATGATGAAGTTTTAGGTTAAAAAATACATAAACTTAATCATTATTGCACATAATATTATTGATAAAAGTCAAGACCTTGTGAATAATTTAGTAAACTAATATTTTTAATTTAATTAAAAACACGTGCTTAGTTGTATAGCTCATAATATTATAATCTATAACAATCTATAATTATTATTATAAAAATTACAATTAAAATAAATTAGTTGAAAATAAGACCAATTATTCTAATCTAGTAAAATATAATAKAATTAAATGTAATTTTACAAATGTTTATAATATTGAATATTATAATTACAATTATTATAGATTGAATATTGCCAATAATGCTATTGGTCCTTAATAAAAAAATGTCCAATCGAGTCATAGTCCTTATAAATAACCTATAATTTGATGCCTTAGTAATATATATATAAGAAAACGTAGAACTATTTCAATGAGAAGAGAAATGTAGGTATAACATAAAAAACTACCCTTGCAGTCTCTTATTAATATCAATTTCATTTTCGAARTAAAAAAAAAAAAACAATAGATAGGCATATCGATTGATGAAATATGATTTTAATTTAGAAATAACGGGAGTAGTAAATAGTAATATTGGAATTGGGATTAGAACCTTTTTATTTTATGTAATGTCTGTTATTATTTTTAAAACCCTCTCAAGGTCACAACAGACTCTGAGTTTTGATTTGTAGGTAATCGCTACCGTCTTATAAAAATTGTAAACCTATACTTTGAATCATGATGACGTRCCTAAAAATCATTCACATTTATTATTTTTCTTTTTTGAACATACTATTATTAATTTTAATTTTTAATACTTAGATACTGTTGTATTACGAGCAGTAATGTTATAYTCTTATTAGTCTTAACAATATCTGTTTGTTCTTACATAAAAACAAAATTATAATACCGTATCATAAGCATTTTTATGATTTTTCTGAATACTTAAACAATTTATTTACTTTATATAGGTGCCTTACTTAAAATTTGTAACATATAAAAAATATTTGTAGTATCTGTTCTAATTTTTAATTGTCTTCATAATATTAGATTATAAAAACAAGCAAAATTAGTACCTATATAATTATTTTAATGATYTCTAATTTTAATGACGTTCATTAATAAATATACAATTATTCGTTTTATGGAAATATTAATTAAATAATAATTTAACACCATAGATATTTAAGTATTATAAATTGTAAAAATGATGTATGAATAACGATTATAGAAAATTCTAGATAACTTCCTATTTAAATGTATCAATTTTAGTTAAAAATTTGTATTATTTGTGAATATTAATTATTTAAAAACCTTATTWCCTTCAATAATTTATTATTAAAAGTATTTTCAACATGTTTATAGTTGTAACATGTATACATGTTAACAGYATTAGTTAGAACTTATTGCTMAATATTGCAAATAAAATGAACTTCTTGGTTTGTACTCGTACAGGAAATTGGTGATAAATAAATGTGTACACCTACTTTTGTTGATAAAATGGTCTTACTTAAATCCATTAAAACATGCATGTGTCTTACGTACAGAATAGGTATATTAATTTGACATTAGTTTGAATGTACTTGATTACTACATATTTATTTATTATCGTTTCCTGCATAGTTCATTTGATATACTATGTTATTATCTRTAGAATATATAAACAAAATACAACACAACACACAGCATTTCTCATTCACTACCAATAAGCTACGAAGGACATATTTTTTTCTGTTAACTAAACGGAATGCGGTAAAAAGAAAAATAATACGTTTCGTTTCGGTATCAAGATGCATATAAAATATATATATTAAATTTTAGTTACCTGAGGGTCTTCAACTAATGTGGCCACACGTCCAGGCTGAAAAATATAACATTAAACATAGTTAGTCAACTACTTTTCGTTTATATTTATATAAATAATAACAACAATAATATTAGGCATACATATAATAAAATATGTGAACAATACTTTCTGATGGGAGTGGAGTAAAGGCATGTGTTTGCTGAATGGCTTTGTATTAGATACAGTTATGATTAAACCATGTTCATAATAATAATAATATGATGTATGTCTAAGTAAGAAGACCATATTGTGGTGTTCCTAGTTCACACTTTCCCAGTTGTAAAAAATTCAAACAATAGACTCCTACAGTGAATACAATTTTATTCTCTTGGACCTCGTTTTCTTTTKGTATAATATATTTCTTTCACCTTCACATTACTCATGTTAATCGACATTTCGACTGTCGTATCAACTCAACTATTTTATAATATACCAAGTATAGAAATGTTGRGCCTACATTAAATTATTCTTAGAATAAGATTATAATTACCTATTYACTAAATTTATTATGTTAATGAGATTTTTAGTAATAAATAATAATAACTCGTATAATTGTTTGGGCCTTTCTTCATCAACACTCTAATAGTCTAGTCGCATTTTAATTTACAGCTCAGTCAGCCAACTATTACTATAATCTGTTCCCTTCTAATTTACTTTCCAGTTCCTTTAACTCATCCAGCATCATCCATGCTAACATATGCAGTATGCACTTTCCATCTTGAAGAAGCCCYGTGCAATATCCAGCTTATCTCATTTTGCTGTACTTCTCCTCTCCACGACGTTTCAAAATTTATAATCAATAATCATTTTTATAATTTTTATCTACTAATAAAATATTCATGCTACTTTAATTACCTAATTATATTATAATTATCATCATCACTAATAATATATAATAATTGGAGCTTTACCTCAAAATACATTTTTTTTTCAAAAATAAACTCATGTAAGTAATATTAATAAATATTTTAATCTAAGCTAATTTTACCGATCCTCTGAATAAAATTACATAATTTGTAACTAATAGCTGTTAATAATTAACAAATTAAAATTAAAAATTAAAACGAATGTTTATTTTTAAACAGACGATGCTAACTGACGATGTAAAAATAATGATTACTTT